TCGAAATATGTATCATGAAAGCGAGACTGTGGATCAAGAAATAAAAAACATAATTGTGTTTGATAAACCGCTCCGTATAAAAGTATGCGTAGAGGTAAACTATAACAATTCTGACAACATTGCTGAATATTGTCACTGGGAGATTTTATGCGAATGAAACTAATCAAGTGAAAAAAAACTTCCAGGGCAAAAAAATACGCTGGCAGCTACAATTAAAGGTGTTGTGCGAGATAATAATGTCACATACGTAATAAATTCACCAACTTCAATCAATACATCGAAAAATATTTAGGATTATCGCCTCTATGTATAGAATATACTTTTAGGATTATCACTAGGACGCTATGTACTATCTATCGGCAAATCAGATGTTTCTAAACTTTTTCGACCGGGAACTGGATTTTTCAGAAGCCTACCATTTGAAAAATGACTAATTTTAAAAACAAAATTTTTTCAATAAAGTTTATTTTTCTCCATCCAGTGGATTTCCTGTAAAATGTAAGTCAGTGCGTTTTGTAGAGCGCACAATTCTCTATATAATAAGCTATAAAACTTTCTTTCACAACCTCAGGAACATGTTGAAAAATTGCTTGCAATTATTACCATCAAAGTAATTATACTATCATTTTTTTTAAAAGTGCAATCTTTCATGAAATAAAACGCACTTTTTATATTAAATCAAGTACGCTGATGAAGGTACAAGGCATTCCACATAGATTATGAGTGTTAAACTCAAGCCGGTATCTTATAGGCCCTCTGATTGCCGTGTTTCAAGCTACTAAACAGGACCAATCCGCCTAACAGGACGCACAATACTCCTCCTTATTTTTTTGAAGGCTGCTTTATGTACATACGTAGGTGTCGCGTATTCCTTTCTGAAAAAGTTAAGGAGTAGGGTTTGAAGAACATGGTATAAGAGTACATAGGGAGGGCATGGAACGTCGGTGATGATAAATTAATTAAATGGCGATTATTGGATACACCGAAAGCTATAGGTCATCTACAATGTCAACCACGTTCCTCTAAGCCACAATTGTCGTCCATTATCCCGGTTTCTAAAGAACGTAAAGCTCTGTTCGACTGTTCCTCGATTATCACAACAACTACAGTCGAATCGGCGGCTCAGGCTAATGGAAGTAAGCTGTATGACTGTCTCGAAGAGGGATGCGTAGTTTCGTTTATCAGATACGTAAATTTAACGCAATATTTACGTACAGGAAAACATCTGCGTCGAATAGAACGCAGTTCCATGGCGGACATGGGTATGGCTATCTATCACTAAAAACTGGAAAATATTGGAGTAAGATCAATGATTTGTCTTCAATTAGAAGAGACTACACTTGATGATGGTGATGATACAAACCGTATTACACCACCTGATAGAGGATGGGCTTTGCCAAAAGAGCGAAAGTGTCACATCTCAATGAATCTCAGATACAATATCTCACTGAGAAGTTCGATGCTACAACAGAGAATTCGATGGAAACCAGAGGAAGTATCAGCTGAAATGCAACGAAAGAACGATTTGAAGGATAGATTCTATTTCACACCGGCCGAGTTTTTAAAACTTGGCCTAATCAGATCGTTTTTTTCACGCTGGAAGGCGATACGTGAAAAGCAAACAGAAACAGTAGTTGTAGACGAAGTGGAGGAGGAAGATGACGATGAATTTGACGATAATCAGGTAGTTGAAGAGACTGAGCAAAGAAATAATTTAAGAAATTCAATGGAAATTAGCAATGAACAAGCATCACCTCCAGCTTCCTCTCGAAACCGAACAGTGTCCCCCGACAATAGAGCTGGATCAACATCCGGCTAAAAACGTTCGTCATGGAGGAAACGTACTGGTGTCAAATAAAATATTGAAATATTTATAATATGTCTGTCTATAACCACTTGTACCTTCATCCGCGTACTTGATTTAATATAAAAAGTGCGTTTTATTTCATGAAAGATTGCACTTTTAAAAAAAATGATAGTATAATTACTTTGATGGTAATAATTGCAAGCAATTTTTCAACATGGTCCTGAGGTTGTTTGAAAATCTTCGATACACCTAATTTTATAAATTCTATAATTCGGCGAAATCAAGTCTAAACTACCTAAAATTTTTTCATTACCTCAGTTTTGATCATAGAATCCATAAATAGAACAAAATATATAGGTCAAAAAATTTCACTTGATAGCTTTTCTTGCTGGGCTGATAGAACGTCTCTTAATATGATATTGGTGATCACAGTGACAAACACTGAGACAAGAGTTCTGTAGTATTGCATCATTCACAGCACTGCTAAACGAAAATAACCCCAACCATCTTTTAGCTATTGCAATTCGTTTGTAAAATACAACAATGGATATTTTTAATCAGCCAGCATGCATTTGTTCTGTAACCTTTATTCTAACTCTCGATGTTTGAATGGAATCTTTTAAATTAATAATTAATAAAATAAAATTGTAAGCCTGTATAAAGCATGAACTCCGCCTTCATTATTAATCTCTCTGAAAAAATGTGTGAATCTTGATTATGAATATATTTAATTCTCAAAAGGAGCACAATAGTAGCTGTTGATCAGCCTAAATAATCTAAAAATCGCGAAACACAAAATTAGCAATGTTTAAGGAAATGTATTTCCCGAATCTTCAGCTAGGGCAAGGCCTTTCCCGCTCGTGTTGCCTTGGCCACTTCAGACTGAGCTTCATTTCGCAAATATCTCTGATAAATCTCCGTGTAATACTGGGGCTCGGACGTTGTTTTGAGCACACTGGGTCGTTCTTTGATCGTCTTTTCATACTCCTTCCACTTTCCACCCACAAGTTCATCTTTGAATCCTCGGTGTTCTTTGAGAATGTACAGACGATTGATCCAAGGGGCAATGGTGATGTCGGCTAAGGAGAACTCCTCACCCGAGAACCAGGGGCCTTTGACTTGATCGAGGTATTTCTGTAGAGCTTCGACTAGCTCCCCCAGAGCCTCTTTCTGCTTCTCCTCTTCCTGCGCTTGCAACGTGCGGTAGTAAGCGGCGTTGACTTTCTTGGACACATGATCGATCCACAGCCGGACACGTGCACGTTCGAAAGCGTCCTTGGGTAGCAGAGGCTTAGCCTGGGGAAATGCATCCTCGAGAAACTCGTTGATGATCAAAGACTCGTAGAGCGCTTTGTTCTGGTAGACGAGGGCAGGAACGAGGCCGAGGGGGTTGATCTCGAGGAACTCTTTCTCCTTCTTGTACGGGTTTACTTCTCGATACTCGTAGAGAAGTTCTTTCTCTTCCAGAGCGAGCCACGTGCGCTGGACGAAGGGACAAAACCAACCGGCGTAGAGGACGAGATCTTGTGGGGCCGAATGGGCATTGACGGTCTTTTCTGCATCTCCGGATGCGTGAGGATGAATTTGTTCGTCGACGGTGGAGGGCATGTTGGTCGATTTGGAGTGATCTGAGAAAAATAAATAGAACTTGCGGTTCAGTTGTTATAAAGATGATGAGCGATTTTACCGAGGTCGTGTATGTACAACAAAGCTAAATGATTATGTGAATTTCAAATACCCTATAGTTATCTTTTCGCACTTTTTGCTTTTAGTGAGATCATCAAAATAGAATAGAAAACAGTTTACCTTTCCCTAGAACTTTTAGTGGAAAACAATACGAAATCGTTTTGGAAGGAAAAAGAAAATGAACATCAACAGCGCAATAACGTTTCAACAGAAATCCATTAACAAAACGCACTGACGCATGTCTTGACTTTGAAGCAGGAAGTTGTGTTGAAATGTCACAATATTATTGGCTATCCAATAATATTGGGTCCCAATTACTGTATACCCAATCGAGTGGGACCAATAATATTGGTCACTCAATCTATTGGGACCAATAATAACAGGCACTTAAAAAATATTGTACAATAATATTGGGCAATATTGGGTTCCGCAATACACTGGATTCCAACTTTTTTACCCTTAATATCACTTAAACGTGAGGAAGCATATCCCGATCGGGATTAGGCATGCACCGATTAATAATCGATGTTAGGGTATCCAGCAAAGTCGTTCCAAATCAGTTTTAAAAACGCACTTAGAGCAGTCGAATGTCTCATTTTGTAATAAAATGTTTGCGCTACCAAACTGAAGTGCAAAAAGACATTTTGGTGTTATCTGCGACAGAAATATAAGCATCAAAAACTGAACAAAATTGCGAAAACAGCAACTGTCGATAATTTTTCTGTGATTATAGTGCGTTTTCGATTTATTGTATTTTCTCTATATATAACATTAAAATTTTTGCAGCACTTCAGTTTGGTAGGGCAAACATTTTCGTACAAAATGAGGCGTTCGGCTGCTCTAAGGGCTTTTTTATAACTGATTTGGAACGGCTTTGCGGAATGCCCTAATACTGATTATTAATCGGTGCATGCCTAATTGGGTTATATTTTGATTCAAAGCGGGATATAAAGCATGCGCCTGCACTGTAAAAGTAGGCCGAACGCAAGTGACCCAATACCCAATAATACTGTGAAAATCCAATATATTGGATGACCAGTATTATTGGTTCCAAAATATTGGTTGACCAATGTTATTGATCCCAGTAGATCGAGTGCCCAATATTATCGGGATCCAATATATTGCATTGGTGCATGCCTAACTTGGACGCGTGTTTCATTCTTAAATTATCTGTTTCTTTTTTTGGGAGCTGAGCGAGTGCAGTGTGTGAAGCAAATGTGAAGGCAAACAAATAACCCACCGTACTTTTTCTTCCGTTATCCTTATCTAGCACTGTTGTTTTCTGTTATTCAAAAAATGAACAGCCTAAAGTCCACGATGAACGCATACGCATGATACTCGTACCTTGTTATAAGCTTTAGTTGATAATTATGATGTAGTGTACAAAAAACAAAAAAGATTGAAACAGAACAGAGCAAGAAGAAAGAGGCGAACCCATTACATCTTTTGTTTTGTTGATGATAACTTACATTATACAGAAAAAAAAAGAAAAAAATGCATCTGAAAGCGAAGGAACGAACTATGAAATCTGTACACGTGTTTCATTTTTAACTTAACTTACCTGTTTCTTTTTTTGTGAGCTGAGCGAGCGCAGTGTGTGAAGCAAAGATGAAGGCAAATAAATAACATACCGTACTTTTTCTTTCGTTATCCTTATCTAGCATTATTCTTTTCCGTTACTCGAAAACGAACAGCCTAAAGTCCGCGACGAACGCATGCAGATGATACTCTTACATTGTTATAAGCTTTATTTAATAATTATGATGTGGTGTAAAAAAAAGTAAAAAACTGAAACAGAACAGAACAAGAAGAAAGAGGCGAACCCGTTACATCTTTTATTTTGTTGATGTTAACTTACATTATACAGGAAAAAAAAGAATAAAGAAAAGAGGAAAAAAACGCATCTGAAAGCGAAAGAACGAACTATGAAAAAAAGAGGTACAGAAGAGAGTAGAGTCGAGCGGGTTTAACCCGATCCCGAAAGCTTTTTTTCGGGTTCGGGTTTGGTGAGGTTTCATTTCATCTGAACCAGTTCGGGATCGGGTTTGTTTCCGATCCCGATCCTTCTAGTTTGATACCCTCTCTGCGAGAGAGTGATAATATGTCTCAGAAAACAAAAATGAGTTAAGTTGTACGCAGAACCGTTGGATACCTCTGATATATTCTACGATTATTTTATACAGCTCTGTAATTGTAAAATCATCGATTTTTTCTAGTTTTTCTAAGGGTAAAATGTGCTTAAGTGTAAAGGATAACCCAGGTGCTATATAATGCCAGTCATTTTTGAACTTAGATCGACATTAGACTTGTATGAAAAGTTAGGAAGTGGCAATCTTATCTTAGGAACATCGATCAGGTACACCGTGGTAGACCTCATTGGTAGAATTGATTTATATATAAGAAGATGCTGTCAGGTCCAGGCTACAAGACACTGGAAACTGCAGTCTTCATCTTGTTCCGTTAAACATTTATTAGAAAAATGACCATGGCCACTGCTCAATTGGACGGATAATATACATATATATATATATATGTCAGAGCCCAGATTGGAATTTTATCGAAGATATCATCAATTAATTTCTCAACTCTGATCCTGTCTAGTTAAGTACAGAATTTTTCCTGTACACATATTCAGGCACACTGAAACATTAAAGCTGAACATCACTGCACTATGATTTTATAATAACAACACTATAGAGAAATAAACGCAGAATATAACATCAAAAACATACAATAACCTATCCAAAACGCCAGTCGAAAACAAAATTGTAGAAAGGGACAGAAAAAACAAGGAATGAGAATTCTCATTCTCGAGCCCCAAAAAGGACAAAAATGCATCCATAAAATGAACAAGAAACAATCGTTCAGTACATGTTCAAAACAAAATTTTACACTAACAAGATGATAAATTCAGATCATTCGACAATAATTAAATGTCCAGTTCATTTTACGCTAAATAAATGAGAATTTGAGAAAAAGAGTGTATTGTTGCCTTAAATTCCATGAGCTTCTCTTATTAATAGCAAAGTTGGAATTAGAGAAACGGTGTTTATATGAAACGATAATAAGAGATCATTCGATCAAGGCATATGTTGACTTTGAGTATTATTTGAAGTATAATAGGGACGTTTGTGAAGAAACAGTAGTGAAATGTGCGTTAAAAGTACTTTATTATATTATCAAGTTTATGGGAAATTTTTTATTTAATTCAATGAATCAGTTATATTTTATTTAGTTCAATGAGGAAGTTAAATTATATAGCGAAACATGTATCGCCCTTAAGAGAAAATTGTTTTAATTGTTTCGTTATCGATCATTTTATTAGCATAGCTGATATTTGTCATTTATTAGTGTTAGATAAAAATGATATACTAAAATTTTCTATTGATGAAAGTGTTTATTCAAAAACTCAACAGTTATGAATGTATAACTGTATTAAATATGGGAGGAATATACCTTTAATTTTCTCAAATAGGTTATTTGTTTGATGCAAATAATAATCATTCTACCTCAACGATCTTTCATAAATCATTGGTTACAATAGTGGATATTATGGTTTCAAAATTTGTAAGATTTGAAGACACTGGATATTAGTGAACGAGGGTATAAATAAAATTATTCTTAATGATATTGTTCCGTTTTTAAGTATTATTGCACATAAAGATAATAATCTTTTTAATTCGTCTTTATTACCTCGCATACGTGAAGGTAAACGTTCGGAAACGAAGATGTTTGATGCTGATTATTTACAGGAATATACAGCTTTTGTGACAAGACTTTTGAAAGTCTATAAAGATCACCCTAGAGAAATTTGTTAATTTCTTCATGGAAACCGTAATCCGAATGTTCTAAAATGTCTGAAACGATAAAAACAAGTTTTTATTGCTCACCAGGGAATGTTTTTAAGTGCCCCCTAGCTTTTTCAACAAAACCTAGTGGGTTATAGGTTATCGATGATGCTGATTCCGAATATGAATATGAGAGCTGCCATAAGGACTTCGAAGATCCGATTTTCTTGGAAACCAGTTTTTCAGAAACTCTGAAAAACAACCAAAGCTATTCTTAATGAGCCATACTTGTAACCCGCACATTTCCGATTAAAATGAGACCTCTCTCAACTCTACACGACCTTTCTTTGCAAAGTTATAGAATTTACAAGAAAAGCCCTAAATTAATTTCTTATGTCTGTAGCTTTAAGTTAACAATGAATATTTAGGGCTTTTCTTGTAAGTTCTATAACTTTGCAAAGAAAGGTCATGTAGAGTTGAGAGAAGTCTCATTTTAATCAAAAATGTGCGGGCTACAAGCATGGCTCATTAAGAAAAGCTTTGCTTGTCTTTCCAGAAAAACGGAAGCTAAGCTCTCATATTCATATTCGAAATCAGCATCATCGATAACCTACCCACTACGTTTCGTTGAAAAATTGAGAGGCACTTAAAATCGTTCCCTCGTCAGGACGATGGTATTCTTTACTAATTTCAGTTAAGAATGATATTAGTTATTAATACTAGTCTATTCCCGCTATTAAGTTTAAATATTATAGATTACTTTCTCTTTTTTTGCCTTTATAACTTATGCTGACGTTTTAACATATAGCAGAAACAAATCAAGAGCTAACGCTTGTTGCGCAATGATTTTTATTCAATTTAGAGACTATTTAATATAAATATAAGAAAAAATTTTAAAACTTATAACGCGAAAACACGTTTCCTTTACAATATTACTTGGTTATTTTGAAAATTACAAGATACTTAACATTATTATTTTACTGAGACTCTACCTAGATCTTATTTTGATTTCCACAACGCTGTTAATGTTTGTTGACCTTTTGGGAGTACAAGTTGATTGGAAGTTCTTGATCTATATCAATAAAAATAAAATATCATATAGATAGTCTTGTCGGTAAAAAAACCAAAAAATAA